TGTTTGACTGGTCTCTCAGTTGGTGAGTCTGTCGGTCGGTCTGTCTGTTTGTTTGTTAGGTAAGTAGATATATAGATAACTGAGGCTGTTTTGATACTGCCAAAGAATAACCGACATCATAATACTATGATATTTTCTGCTTAAAAATACTCATACACACACATACACAATCACACTTTATCACACAGTTGAATTCTTAGTAACAGTAGTAACAGCAGCAGTAGCAGCAGTCATTCAGTCAATGCTTAAAACAGTTACAAAAATGCCTTTAATGTTAATGATGACTATGTATGATGTTGATGAGTTTAAAAATATTTAAAATGTCGATGTGTTATGTTTGTTATTTTTTCATGGATGTGTGTATGTGTTTTTTTGTTTGTTTGTGTGAGTATTGATACATTCATATGAATTTCACAAAAATTCTACACGATTGGCTTCACAATTATTGAGTCCTGTGAAAAGTTTTCTGTTTTTTTTTTCAACTCATCCTCAATCAAATGTGATTAATTAATTTACAGCATAAGTTTAAGCCAGTGATCACCTGTGCTATTTAAATGGACAGTATTCCTCGTCTCTTGAGTTAAATTTCAATATACATACTTATCTAAAACCCTATTAAGTAAGTACAACAAAAAAATACTTAAAACCCGGTATTTTCTTTAAAAACTGTACTTTACAAAATCAACAGTATTTTTTGATCATTGTCTATTCTAAACTAAGTGTTTGAAAATTTAATACAAATTTTAAACTCTTCCTTCAGAGAGAACTTTAAAACTCAGCCTTAGAATTTTTAACCAAAATTTATCAAACAACCCTTTTAAGTTTTTAAAAAATTTTAAAGATTTTTTTCATTACATTTCTCCTTTTATTCATACAAACATGTGTATGATTAGTATGTAGGAATGCACATGAGTTTGGTGTCGATGAAAGTGTGTGAGTATGTGTGTTTCATTTTGAGTATGAGTACGCGTCAAGTTGAAATTTAAGTTTAATGACTTAACGAAGCATTTAACCAAATCTGTTTAACTCTAACCATATATTTTACTCTTTTTTCTCTTCATTACTTTCTCAGACATTTGCTGAGAATTAGTTTAAGATTTTCTTTTTCTTATTTGATATTTTTTTTCGTATAAAGTTAAACCGACTTTAAGTATAGAGTAAGAGTATAATTTGTATTTGATGATTTGAAATATAAGATAAGGCCTTTTTTATTAAAGACATCGTAACAACAAAAGGACTGTCTAACTGACTTACTGTGAATTATGTTTAAAGAGATTAAATAAATTTAAATTTTTAAGCAATAGAAGTTTGCTACTTAAAATAAATTAAATTCAACTAAATTTTGTTAAGAACAAATTGTCTCTTTATTAAAATGTTGTATTTAATTTGTCAAAGAATTTGTTTTGTTTTATTAAAATTAAAATAATTTATAGCCGAAAAACAAACCCCTTTTTTGTTACACGACATATAAATAAATTTGCATAAACAATTTGTTAACAACAAACATACACTTAAGTCATATGAGTAATATGATGGTGTGCAATTCTTTGATACGAATTTGCTGAGTTTGATTATGACATTTTAAGGGGGATTTAACAAATATAAAAAAAATATTCACTTAATAACACAATTGTTTTCCCTAGTTATAAATATATATAGAGAGAAAAAAAAACCTCGTAATCTATATCAAGTTTTTGGTTCGCACTAAAACCTTCTAAAAGCAAAAGGTGCTACATAAAATCTTCTCTAGTAAAACTTTATGCATTATTCATGACAGAAAACGACGGTATTGCTGGGAAAAAAAAAAAAAGAATAAAATAAAACAGAATGGAATATGAAATAGAATTGATATGGAATAAAATTCAATATGTAAAAAACCACAGCAACAGGAGTAACTGCCAGACCTTTCATGTTTTTGCAGTATAAATATATATTTTTATGTATAAATTTCTGCAATTGTCTTTTTGATATTTTGAGTAGAAAGTCATAACTATGTATTAGGGTTTGAAGCTACTGCTGGCGTTTATAGTAAAAAACACAAAGAAAAAATAACTAAAAACTGACACAAACAATAAGCTTAAATTAAATTTATTAACATTGAAAAAAATACGCATTAAAATGAAACAAATTGAAATTGTAATTGAAAATAGCAGTAACAAAAAACGTATTAATTTTTTGCCATTTAAAAATTTTAAAATAAAACCTCTTCTTAACAAAAAAGAAGTCTTAAATGCCATAATTGAATTATTTTAGTCAAATTACGAACATAACAAATTAGCTAGTAAACATAAATTTTTATTAAAAAAAATCTTCTTAACTGTATAATGATGACCAAGTGTAATTTTTTTATTACCTTGACTTCCTTTTTTTGTCATTATGTGAAAATTAATTTTAAAAATATTCACTACTCGCATTTTTTCCATTTTATTAATTTTCTCGTTGGTCAAGTATGACAGATAAAAAAATGCAATTTAAGCTTTTTTTTCTCTCTCTCTTCATCTTGAGCATGTAAATGACAAGTTATATAAATATACACACAAACACATCATCATTTGAAGCAATATTTAACAAAAAAAAATTTATTTACTTTTTCATATGTACTGCTTGAAGTTCAAAGAGAATATGAAATATATTCCATCAGCGCTTCATTAAGTAGGAAAATTGTTTTTTTTCACTTGCGCTACTTAAGTATATGTCAAATTAAAAAGTTGTGACAAATACGAATTTTTTGTTTGTGCAAATGACAAAAAATATATATAAAAGTTTTCCAAAATTTTGTTAAAAACTGTGGAATTGTGTGTCAAAACTATTGTGTCAAGTGGCTAGAGAATATACATATAGCGGAGACTATAGTCGAGACTAGACTATGGTCAAGACTACAGTCAAGACTAATGTCTAGACTTAGTCCCGTCTATAGATTTGAATATAGTCCAGACTAAAACTTTAGTTTTAAATAAGAACATAGTCTTGGCTAAAGATAAGATCATAGTGTTGGGTATAGATAAGACTATATAACTAGTCTTGACTATAGACCATAAACTATAGTCTTGACTATAGACTAGACTATAGTCTTGACTATAGAATAGATTATAGTCTTCACTATAGACTATAGTATTGACTATAGACTAGACTATAGTCTTGACTATAGACTTGACTATAGACTAGACCATAGTCTTGACTATAGACTAGACTATAGTCTTGACCATAGACTAGACTATAGTTTTGACTATAGACTAGACTATAGTTTTGACTATAGACTAGACTATAGTTTTGACTATAGACTATAGTCTTGACTATATACTAGACTATTGTCTTGACTATAGACTACACTATAGCCTTGACTATAGACTAGTCTATAGTCTTGACTATAGGCAAGAACTAGACTTTAGTCATGACTATAGACTAGACTAGACTGTAGACTAGACTTTATTTCTTGACTATAGACTAGGCTATAGCATTGACTATAGACTAGACTATAGTATTCACTAGACTATAGTCTTGACTATAGAATAGACTAAAGTCTTGACTATAGAATAGACTAAAGTCTTGACTATAGACTAGACTATAGACTTAACTATAGACTATAGTATCGACTATAGACTAGACTGTAGTCTTGACTATAGACTAGACAATAGTCTTCACTGTAGACTGGACTATAGTCTTGACTATGGACTAGACTATAGTCTTGACTATAGACTAGACTATAGTCTTGAGTATAGACTAGACTATAGTCTTGAGTATAGACTAGACTATAGTCTTGAGTATAGACTAGCCTATAGTCTTGACTATAGACTGGACTATAGCCTTGACTATAGACTGGACTATAGTCTTGACTATAGACTAGACTATAGTCTTGACTATAGACTGGACTATAGTCTTGACTATAGACTGGACTATAGTCTTGACTATAGACTAGACTATAGTCTTGATTATGGACTAGACTTTAGTCATGACTATAGACTAGACTATAGTCTTGACTATAGACTAGACTATAGACTAGATTTTATTTCTTGACTATAGATTAGGCTATAGTATTGACGAGACTATAGTATTCGCTAGACCATAGTCTTGCCTATAGACTAGACTATAGTCATGACTATAGAATAGACTATAGTCTTGACTATAGACTAGACTATAGACTTAACTATAGACTGGACTATAGTCTTGACTATAGACTAGACTATAGTCTTGACTAGGCAAGGCTATAGACTAGACTATAGTCCTGGCTATAGACTAGACTGTTGTCTTGTCTATAGATAATTCTAAATGAATTGTTCATGACAGGTTTTCGATAGCAATTTTCCCTTCGGTGAAAATGAAAATTTAAATTTTATTGAAGTGGGTTTGTGTATTTTGTATCCAATTAAAATACTTAACACTCCACTTATAGGGTAAAAAAGAAAAAGTAATAAAAATGGACATTGTTTTTTTAAACAAAATAAAAAAGGTAGTTAGAGAAAAGTATAAAAAAAAAACAAACAAAAAACGCAGAAAAATGTACAGAAATGATGAATTTTTTAAATGAATCCGCTTAAAAAAAATAAATAAACGCATACTAATGATACCACATTGCGGTAACTATGTTACTGACGCGCAATGGGAAATCTGTTGCTGATACAGCAAATAAAAAGATTTTCAATCATAATAAACCACTACAAACTAAAACGCACATACATACCTAGGGAGATAGGGTAACTAAAAAAACGTTGTCTAAAAACTGCTGTATCTACTACTACTACTGCTGCTACTACCTTTAAAACTATAAAATGACTAGTTGAAATTGCTTTTTTATGTTATTGTTTTTATCACCCATGGTGTGGTTGTATGTGCTGGTGAGTTGCCTTTGCACTTTTAAAAAATAATAACTTGAATCTAGAGTTAAGTAATGAGACTACTACACAAAAAATCCGCAGAAACAATTGCTTTATTTTTAATTCATTTTATATAGAATAACAACAATAAACTAAAATAACTGTAAGAAGTAAATAAATTGTATATAAAAGAAAGTTGAAGCCACCAATGTAAATACACATTAGTTGGCAAGAATCCAAAGCAAGGAGAGACAAAAACAATAAACCAAGATCAAGGAACCATTATCTATTCCCAACATCATCTATTAAAATAAAACATACATACCCTGTCTTAACCATACAAAAAGATGTTTAAAGCAAATACTAAAAACCGGAAGTGGTTGAATTTAACGTTGGCAAACAATAAGGTAAATAGAAAGCATGAAAAACAAACAAAGAAAATAAATAAATAATAACATTAAAATAAAAACAATATCATACTGCAGCTCGTCAGCATCAACATCATTGTTGTCGTCAACACCAGCTGAAGAAGCATTATAAACAATAGCAACAGCGACTAAAAAGTGTAGATTTCTTATAAATAAAGTATTGAAATAAAAACTAAACAACTGTGAAAGGTTGCCATGTTAAGGGGGTATACTGCAACTGAATATATGTATGTATATGTGTTTTATAAACTAACAAAGTTGATTTATTTTGTTTTTATTTTCATTTCCTTTATTTCTTGCTTTTCTACTTTCTTCGTTTCTACAAGTGTGGGCATTCAAAAGCCAAAGGGAATTTTGCAAAAGAGTTTAAAGATTCATATTTACAAGTTTGTTTACTTACGAAGCAACAGAATTGAAAACAGTCAAGCTGTAGCTGAAACAAAAAAAAAAACAATAAAAAAAATATAAAGAAAAAAAATCGGAAAAAGCCAAAGCATACACAAGAAACCAATGCAATACAATTGCAATCACAAAAGAAAACAATAACATGCTCTACAGCACACATACCGACAAGCACACGCATGCAGAATTTTTTATCAAATACAAATACAACAAAGCTTTGCTCAACAAAAAAATGGAAAATTTGTTTAATTCTCAGACAGGAAGTGTGCTAGAGAAAAAAATTTTAAAATTTATATGCATTGTTTAGAATTTGTTGAAACAAAAAAAAAAAAACTAACAAAATTTATGTAGACAGCAGATGCGTAGTGGGGACAGTTTGTTTTTTTTTCTAATAAAAAAACTAGATTTTAATTTAAAATAAAAATTTATTATTCCTTTTTTTGTCTACTACCAAAAAAAAAAAAAACCTTGTCAAAAAGCATAGAACAAAACATTCCTTGAATAATGGTGACAATTTTAACACATTGCGTTCCTTTTTTTTTAAACATACAAATCTACATTGTCTAAATTTTTTAATAAATAAAAGATTTTAATTAATTTTTAAACATATAAAATTTGTTTAAATTTATCTCTAATTCCTTTGTTTAGGAATGATTACATAACTTGAATTTTTAACATATGTTGCGTATGAGTTATATTTAATTTGGTTTACATAAATAACACTCATACGTTTTAAGTGATTATGCAAGCGAAATGTTTGAACTTAAATTTTATGGAATTTAAACAGATTTTTGTATTTAAATTGTGTAAATTATTTAAATATATTTTAATTTAATGTAAAGTAATTAACAGCGAAATTGCTGAAATCTTTTTCCAAAAGGAAAATTTAAAATGATTTTTTTTTGCTGTTAAACTCATTTTCAGTAAAGAACAATTTTAACTTTTTATTTAAAGAAAATTTAAGCTTTTTTGCTGTAAATCGCATACAATAATTTTCTACAAAAATTTTAAATTTTAAAGTGTAATTTAACATATTCAGCATTTCCACAACTCCAAGATTGGTACCTTATAAAAATGTTACTTTTTGCAAATTTCCTCATCTGTTAAGAGGTTATAAACTCTTATTTAAAAATAAAATATTGTAGCCTTCAGGGATACATTAAAGAAAGGTATAAAAACAAACCTTAAATATTAAGGAATTTTGTTAAATTTTAAATGTACTTTTTTCCTGCTTAAACAAGATACTTTAAAGGTGACACTTTTGACAGTAAGAAGAAAAAATATTTTAAATTTATTATTAAACCAAATATTACTTTCAAATTAGTTTTATTTAACTTTAAAATATTCACTTTATTTGAATTATTTGCTTAGTGCAAAAACGTGTTAAGTCATAGGATTCCGTTAAGATCGTTAGATGTTTTCTTTCATTTTTAAAACAAGATTTAACAAATGTAAAATCTTATATTCAGTTTTTTTCCCCTTATCCCTAAACCATTTAAATTGTTTTGAGTGCAGAGAAAAATTAATGAGATTTTCAGTTTCTTGACTTAAAAACTTTTTGTCTCTTAGCCTTTCAATTACATGGAAAAACTAAAAAAAAAATATATATTTGATTTATATGACAAAAGAACATCTTCAATTCCGTCTCTGTTTACAAGAACTTTATGTTGATTTAGTATGCTTGCCTCTGGTAACATTTTAATACATACAACTGCAGAAAAAAAACTATAAATAAACAAAAAAATAGAGAAGAATTGTTTTACAGAAAAAATAATAACAACAATAATACATATGTATGTATGTTTGCAAGTAAATAATGTAAAAAAAAATATGACAAAATGAAAAGTTTTTGCAAGATCCTTTGTGTATTTCATTTAAAACACTTAAAGACTTTTAAAACTCTCTCTATAGTTTATATTCATATGGAGATTGAAGTGTACTAAACTGAAATAATACAAAATTGCAACAAGTTGTTTTGTTATATAAACTCTTTAGAGTTTTGTATAAATTTATAATTATTTTTTAATATTTTTTATGGATAAAAGGCCTTTCTTTAGGAAATGTGAAAAGTGTTTTTTTAATAATTTCTGCTCCAATATTTTTTCTTTAATTTGTAGTAAATTAATTTGAATTTAATATTATACCATTTTTCTCTTATTTAATACTACTTTTATTACAGTTATTTTTATGGCAATTTGTTAAATGTTTATTACCATTTAATTTCTTTATTAATATTAATTTACCAAAAAAAAAAAAAAAATAAAAACAACAAGAAACAAAATAAAAACTTAATAACGTTAAAAATTTCGTCAACTCTTATTGTACATGTTGTATGGTTAAAATTTTACACACAGACTTGACCGCATGACCGTGTTCATGTCCATGTATTACACATTGCTAGCTGTATGGAGTTTTGTTGTTTCCATTGACTGCTATACAGTTACTACCTCTCAACCTTTTGCTCTTACTCTATATTCCTGTAGTTTGCATATCAAATGCGTGGTTTTTGAAACAAATTAAGGTCATTTAGCGCTCAATATGCGGTATATAACACACACACATATATATTCTGTATAGCAAACAGTAAGGCAGACAGACCTACAAATTCGATACCATCAGCAATGTTGTTAATTTTTTAGCATTCACATATATAAAAACAAACAAAACATTTAAAATTTACACACAAAAATATATAAACCTATAAACATACAGCCGCATCATCAATATTATTAAAAATAAGCACAAAATATTCGTTACGTTTCGATTTGAATCGAAACCAATACCAAAACATGCCTTCATATAAAATGAACAGGGCACAGTGGTGTGAATTATATGTGTAATATCCGATTTCCAGTTGTTCCGATTTCAGTGAAATTTACCATATATTCTCAATTAATTTCACATATGGATAAGATCTATTGTTAAGAATTTTTTTAGAAAATAAGAACTTTTTTATACAAAAATGGTAAACAATTTCCTTCCTACCAGATTGGGTATCTATGGGATAAAGTTCAAAACATAAACCCGTTAACATTTTCTCTCTAGGCAGTTGAAATTTTATTACAATCCCAACAATTGTTTAAAATTTCCAAAATTATTTTTTCTTTCTAAATTCCTCCACTGTGGGTCGAGTGTAAAACTGCGTATATATGAGTAAGCGTTTACTTTAACTCTTTTTTGTTGTTAAAGCCACAGACAGCAAAATAAAAAGAACAATCATAAATTGTATGTGTGTAATCCAGTTTTTCTTCTCTTACGCTTATTGTGTAACAACAGAGTGTGTGTAAGTGAGCATTATTAGTGTCTATGAGTATGAAGGGTTGTGAGTGTTTGAATGTTTGCAATTGTTTGTTTAACTGTATATTAGGTGTGTGTGTTATAACATCCTGTGAGTGTGCATGTGTCTGTGTAAGAGTTCGTAAATCTGCAGTATTATTTGCAAAGAAATGCTTGTTTATATTATTTTACTCGTGTTGCTGCCATTTTTATTAACGTAAAATGTGAATGTCCGTGTTAAATCCCTTTTGTTTGACCATGCCCTCATGTACTCTTTTACAAAATACTCCAAAAAATGAAATTGTTTATGGACTTATAGTTCATTCATATACTGTACTAGTCAGACGATTTTCCTCTTTTATATTCCTTGATTTTCCTCAATTTTCTTTCATTGCGTTTGTTTTTTTTTTTTCGTTTCGTTGTTATTGTTATAAAACATTGATGATGTATGGAATTGATTCAATATATGAGTACAATGAAATCATACAATGAACAACTTTGTTGAGTTGTATGTTTATTTGTATGTAGTAGAAGTATTTTCATACAGTTTTAATGCTATTACAGACTTATTTTTTTAATTTTTTTCCTGACTGAGTGAGTGACTGACTTGACTGGCTGGCTGGCAATTTTCGTTATTTTTTTTTATTCATTTCTGGATTTGTAATCATTATGTTCAATTTGTTGCTATACATACATATACCCTGATACTATATTCATTTACCCATAAACCACTTTGACCAAAAGCAAAAAAATATAAAATAAAATAATAAAAAAAACACGAATTCGATCGAAATCTAACCAAAACATAATGTAGGCGATCAAAACTTAACCAAATTGATATGTGTATTGATGAAAATATAAAAAAAATAAAACGTATGAAAGCAATCATCATCATCATTTTGGTTTAACCTCACAAAAAAAAAATTATTTGTATTGCCTGGGAAAAAGTATTAATTTTTTATTTTAAATACAGAGTAGAGATTTATTGATTTTAGAGTAATTGTTTAATGGCCGTTAACAGAGAGGTGTGTAAATATGAAACGAAAATTAAAGTAAATATGTAGTTAATTTTCGACTATGTATAAAAATTAAGCAAATTTTAAAAAGTTTTGGAATGAAATAAAAAAATTGTTTTAAAAAATCTCTATACCTTATACATTGTGTTGGTGGCTTTAACTAAGGCTAACATGAAGTTGATTTCAAAAGTTATAAAGACAGACGGACATTGCTTGCCTCTATTGTGTATGTGTCACAAACACAAATAGAATCTTTATATTTTAGCTTACACTGAATTTCTATTAAATGAATTTAAATCTTAAGGAAACACGTTACATCATGTTATAATGAAAGCACACACACACACACACTGCGTATGATTATTATTTAATTATTCCCATTAGAGATGAAAATATCACTCATACGCTTCAAACTTTTTAATATATTCTATTTTTAATAACATTAAAAAGCATTTGGTTTTTGCACAAAAATGTCTTCTTAACTTATTTAAAATCTATTTATACTAAATTCTGTTTCCAAGCTGCTTATGTTTGTTAGCGAAATAAATCTTGCTTGCTGCTAATCTTAGATTTTACGTGTAATCTTTTGTATTATTAAATTTTGTCATTTTAATTTAATATTAAGAAAAATTAGAATATTTGTCATGTCAAATAAGTTTGATGGGAAAAAATGCCTTAAAACAAAATTGATTAACAATACATAATAATGTGTTTCTAGAGAAAACACAAAAAATAATACAGACTGCCAAGAAAGCAATAAAAATAATTGACCAAATCTAACAAGAAAAAAAGCAAAGAAATGGTTGAAAATGATGTATACAAGGATTAACGCAGTGGCTGGCCAAAAGACAGCTAGTCAGAAGAACAAAAAATTGTCCAAAAAAATAAGAGGCTT